CACCAACTTCACTGCACACTGTTTTTATTGGCCGATACTAGGGCTGCAAACGAACCGAGCGACTCGCAAGGGCTCGAGTCAAAGCGAGACTCGAGCTCGAGTTTGACCAAACTCGATCAGCTCGAGCACGAACTCGAGTCGAGCTCGAGCCCATATTTTGCCTTGTCGAGCAGCTCGAAATACATGTTAAATTACTAAAATACCCCTTATATATATTTTAGCATTGGTCGTTAATGGTAATTTTATCTTTTCACTTAAAAATTTTCGAGCCGAACTCGAGACGAGCCGAGCTCGAGCTATTGTAATTTTTCATCGAGTCAAGCTCGAGCCTAAAAAATCGAGCTCGACAAGCTCGAGCAGCTAAAAAAAAGTCAATCCTGCTCGATAAGGCGATGTTCAACTCGGCTCGTCTCGTTTGCAGTCATAGCCGATGCTATATGAATTGTGGATTGGGTCAATATAAATCATAGTGGGCTCATCATATATTTGAATAATGGGTTCGATTATGATTTATTTATTTTTGTGGAGTTGTTGTAGAAGTAGGGGTGCAAACGAGCTGAGCCGAGTGGAGCATTGGTCTTATCGAGCAGGATTGAGTTTTTTTTTTAGCTGCTCGAGCTCGAGCTCGTCGAGCTCGATTTTTTAGGCTCGAGCTCGACTCGATAAGAAATAACAATAGCTCGACCTCGACTCGTGCTCGACTCGAAATCAAAATACTCGAGCTCAGCTCGAGTTCGGCTCGAAATTAGGTAAAATTACCATTAAGCACCTATGCTAATATATATAATAAGGGGTATTATTGTCATTAACATATATCTCGAGCCGCTCGACAAGTCAAAATATAGGCTCGATCTCGACTCGAGTTCGAGCTCAAGCTGCTCGAGCTCGACTCGAGTTCGGTCAAACTCGAGCTTGAGTCGAGCTTTGACTCGAGCGCTCGCGAGCGGCTCGTTAGCAACTCGACTTGTTTGCAGCCCTATGTGGAAGTGTTGGTCCAAATCTTTGAAATGCGAGTGATATTTTCACGTATTCATATATACTTAATTGCTTTGATTGGTTGGTATGATTAGTAATGGCCTAATTGCTGGTAAAATCATGACCTTACAACTTTTTGTCGTTTTAACCAAACTTTTGGAATTTATCAAATATAACATAACCTTGTCTATTTTTGGCAATTCGAATCACCGGGCCGAATTTTGAGCTTTGTCTGCAGAGGTGGCTGATGACATGACGATTTATGTTGATGTGGTTGATGGCATGGTGAATTATGGTGACGTGGCTGGTGATGTGGCAGTAAAAAAAATTATGCAACACTAGGGTTCTAACTTGGGACCTCAAACTTGTATTATGGCATTACAACCACCACACCTCCCCAAGTTGTATGTTCAAAATTAAAACGCTTGATATATATATATATATACAATACGTATGAATAAATGTAAACTTATAATAATTAAAATATAATAAATAAATTATATAATATTTTATGAAAATAATCTAATATTAGATAATAAAATATAGAAAATGGCAAAGTAAAATAAAAAAAATATAAATCAATTAAAATAATAAATTAAAACAAATAGAAATCTTAAATGAATATAATAAAATAAAGAAATATTATTTGAGTTATTATAATTAATAATTTATTAAATTATTATAATAAAAATAATATATATAATTTATTAAATTACTATATTCAAATAATATTTTTTATTTTATTATAATTAGTAATTTATTAAGAAATAATATAAATAATTTATAAACTTATTATATTAAAAAATGGTTATAATAAAATAACGAAATAATATTTGATATAATAATTTATTTAATAATTATATAAAAGATAATATAAATAATTTATTTAATTGCTATATTTAAATATTTTAATAATTATGAAATATATAAATTTATTTTAATAAATATGAAATATATAAATTTAATTTAATTTAATTTCAATTTACTCTACTATAAAATAATTTATCTTACTTCATTTTAGTTTATTTAATTTAATATTATATAATTTATTTTATTATGTTTTAATTATTATAAGTTTATACCTTATTAATATAATTTAATATAATTTACATTATATTTTAAATTTGATTTGATTTATTCATATGTAGTGTCTATATATATTAAATGCGATTATATTTAACAAATAACTTGGGTTGGTGTTATAGTTGCAATGTTATCATACAACCTTGAGGTCCTAGGTTCGAACACCAGCTTTGCTTATATTTTTTATCGCCACTTCAACATAAATCGCCATGTCATCAGCCACCTCTGCAGACAAAGCCCGAAATTCGGCCCGGTGATTCGAATTGCCAAAAATATACAAAGTTATGTTATATTTGCTAGATTCCAAATCTATATATATATAAAAAGATTTACCATTTTTCAAAAATGGCAGGTCAATTTTTGGTCAAATCTCTTTCTTCATTAATTATTACTATTAATGGCAACTTCTTTTTCCTTTTTCTTTTTTTCACCTTTAGCTATTAAATGCCCACAAAATGCGGGAGATTTTTAGTAATTAATTTAGTATAAACATTCCCAAAAAATGCGGCTCAATTTCTTATAATGAATACTATTCACTTTAATGATTACTATTCATTTAATTTGTTTTTTACATAATATTGCATAAAATTTTATTTGGAAAGTGTATGAATACAATTATATTTGATATTTGACTTTTTTTTTATAACACGTGTATTAATACTTTTTGACATGACATAAAACTATTTTTTTAATAATTACAATTTTGTAAGCACGTGTTTTTATGGATACATTTTTATTTCTAATTAACTAACATATAAGTTCGTAACACGATTTTGTTTTCCTGTAAAGAATCCCAATTTTAAGGGAAATATAAAATTATATATTTTTTTAATTAGCTCTATTTTTTATGTTTAAAAAAATTAAAAATTTTATTGTTTCCATATGTTGGGACTCTTTTAAAGGGTTTTATATTCTAGATATCTAAACAAAATTAGAGTTATAATTTCACATAACCTCTGTTTGTTGTAAACAAATCCAATTTATATAGAATTCTAAAATTAAACATACTTTGTAATCAACTATGATTTTTATAACCGTTTTTTATGTTTAATTATATTTAAAATTATATTGTTTCCATGTTTTGGGATTCTTTTTTTCCGTTTTGGCTTTTTTTTTAAAAAAAAAAAAAATTATGAAAATCTCAACATACCAGTTATTATAAGATGTAGTGGTTGGAAACAAATCCAACTTATATGGTATTATAAAATTAAACATATCAGTTATGATATGTAGATCGATAATTTATATGTTTAATTAAATATTAATTACACGGTTTCCATCTCTTGGGACTCTTTATTGTTTTTAGATTTTAATAATGTACATATTCTTATAAATACGGTTCTTCTAAATTCATTCTCATCTACAGATTTGCAAAAACGTTTTCCATTCGGCTTTACCCAAATTCTACTTGCATTACCTTAAAAAAAACAGTCATCGGCACTGAAATCTTGAATAATATTTAGAGCAAGCTCCTTGCTTGCAGAAATTTATGATTTGACAATGCATTTATCTTGAAAATTTAATTTAGAAAATCACATTTTTCTCATTGTTGTGCACATGTCCAATAAACTAAATTTAGCGTTATTATATTCTCTGTATTTTTTACATTTATATTGCACAAGTTAAAATCTAAATGCATATTTATCATCAAATCCTATGAGCTTATGTCCAATGATGACTAACATGATATATCTGATGGTAAAAATAAAAAATAAACCAACTTTGAACAAAAATTAAGATAGATAGCCTATTCATAAACAATTAATAAAAAACAAACAAACCATCTCAGCGGCGGGATTGAATACCCGGTTTGTGTCGAACCTGAAACATTGCAATTATTATTTTCAAAACAATATAGAAATTACTAAGGAAAATTTTACATTTATTTACAGTCTTATTTTGATTTATTTGATGGTCAACCTAATAATTGTTGTATGTAATTTTTTGTTTTATTTGGAGAAAATTGTGAAATACTATGAAATATGAAAAAGGGAGAGGGAGAGAAATTAGAGGGAATCATTAAATTATGTTTCTATCTATAAATTATTCAACTCATTACTAAGGAAGTTACATGATTCAAACTAAAATATACTTTATTAGTATAGCTAGGAATGTACAATAACTATCTTCATAAAATAGGAATGAAAAAGTTAAACTTAGAATAAAATATAATTTATAATATAGTTGGAAATTAGAAAAATTGTCCAAACGTTGGGGCAATTTGTTTGGCGACAACAATCAGCATTTGCAGCCCAGGATAGAAGCCCAACAAGGGAGCCCAGTTGAGTGAGGCCCAATTTCCTCAGCCCGCGTCCGGCCGGAGTCGGTCTGTGCTCCTCACAACGAGTTAAACAATAATCAAACTCATTTGTTGTATACAAAGAGGTTTTTAATAATATAAGATTTTTTAGTGACGAACATTTTATGATGAATAATGTTCGTATGTATTAAACTCTCATATATCCTAATGCATGTCAAATTATAATATTCTCCAAATTAATATATCCGTGCATCGCACGGGATAAACACTAGTGTATGGTTAAAACGACAAAAAATTGTAAGGTCATGATTTTATCGGCAATTAGGCCATTAGTAATTATAGGCAACACTTCCATATTTTAGACCTTTATTAGTTGCTGTATTTACATAAAGATGAGAAAAAAGATAAAAAGTGTAGGGTGCATTACTAACTCCATAGAAAGTCCAGGAGCCTGCTATAGCCTTTTGGGCTGGCAGCTTGACTATTTGGGGAGCAAAAATGCGCATTTTAGTTCAAACCAAGATTTTTTACTTGAAATTTGGGATCAATCTATTTGACTTGGCAAACCCATAATTAAAGTTTGTCTCATTCACCTATATATGGCATGCATGCTATTTGTTCAATTCACATAACAAGAACCTAGAGGAAAAAAAAAAAGAAGAAGAAGAAGAATAGTAAGAAAATGGCAAAATTATTGTTGATCATCTCATTTTTGGCCATCCTATTGGCCTCACGGGGAATCCTAGCCATTGATTACACCTTCACCAACACTACTGTGTCGCGGAAGTTTGACAAGGAAATCGGTAAGAACTATACGCTGCAAATCATGAACGAGTCCACGACATTCATCTGGAAGACTTTCAATCAAACGAGCCCAGCTGACAGAAAAAGCGTACAAAATGTGAGCTTATTTATCGATGTCATGAAAGGGGTGGCGTACACTATCGACAACCAGATCCATTTTAGCGCCGGGTATATCTTACATATGTTGAACAAGTGATGAGATTTTTCGACAAAAATGATTTTTGTTTAAAGCCAAACATATTCATATGTATATATATATATGATCATCAGGTACATCCAGAACTACTCGGGCAACGTGAGTAATGAATTTACAGGTATATTATACCACGAGATGACTCATGTTTGGCAATACGACGGCAAAGGCCGTGCTCCCAGTGGCCTAATCGAAGGCATAGCTGATTTCGTGAGGCTGAAAGCCAATCTGGCGCCAAAACATTGGGTTAAGCCTGGTGATGGCGACAAATGGAACCAGGGATATGACGTCACGGCATATTTCTTGGACTATTGCAATGACCAGAAGAAAGGGTTTGTTGCCGAGCTCAACAAGATGATGAAAGATGGCTTCTCAAAGAAGTACTTTCAAGCGCTGCTTGGAAAGACGGTCAATGAGCTCTGGAAGGAGTACAAAACTATATATAATCCCAAAAAGTAGTCAAAACATGTTTTTGTGAGCGTGTAATAGAAATAATTGTCTACCGAGTTGTATTGAAACCGTTGCTTTTAAGTAAAAAAAAAAAAGGCCTTTGTTTTTCAACCGGGGCCGGCCAGACGGGTCGAGCCTAAGCCGGAACCGGCCAGGGTATATGGTTTGGACCGCGTGACAACTAACCCAATTAGCCCTGCTTTTACCCGGTCGACTCAGGCATCGATCCGGACGGATCAAGCTGGTAACCCAATTACTATGGGCGTGATTGTTTACATATTCTACAGTAAAAATCTCATTCAAAACTCAAATTTAACTCAACTTTAACTCAACTCCACTATCTCCAATATTATCAATATAATTAAATAATATCAACCAATCATTATTACATATCACATCAACTTTAATTCACTATTCATCCACTCCAATAATTTTAACTAACCATCACTTCCAATAATTTTCTCCTACTTTTACATCAAATCAACTTTAATTAATTTAATTTAAATATTATTTTAATATATCCACTAACAACTAACCATACTACTTTTTTTCTAACTTAACTATAGTTAAAAAAAATAGTTTTTGACTAGTTGAATTCATATCCAATCACCCCCTATAAGTTTTTTTTATTTATTTTTTAAAATATTTTTTATTTTATTTTAAAAATATAAACTATGTAAATATATTTCTATGGTAAAATATATATTACAAAATACTATATAAATAACTCTTTGATGTATAAATTTATATACAAATATATTATTTCTGTTACTTTTATGTATTTTTATTTGATTAAAATACAAGGTTTAATTGCTAAATAAACTCTCACCTTTCAGATTTTGGCAATTTAATTCCAACCTTTACATAATTGTAATATAATCTAGACCTTTTCGTAATTTTGCAAAATGAACCTAATTTTGTCGGAGATTCAAAAAATGTCAACGTGTTCTACTACTTATATATTCGTGGAAATTTCAGTTTGCTGAGTGGGAATACATAGAATGCGTGGAATTGAGAAAAGTGGATATTTAAACAATCAAAAGATGAACCGATCCCAAATTCACAAATCAAAATTTGAACCCCATTTCTGCAAAATCGCTGGTCTAAAAACTGCCTTCATTTTCAACACAAACTGCACCTCATCCAAGTATTTTTGTATACGCTCTTCCTTAGCCTTGTGTTCTCCTTTAACTTGTTCGACGACGAGCTGGGAGTTAGAGTGATGTTCATGTGTGATTTTACATCATATTTATAGAGTATCTAGAGCTTATTCATTGCATTATTGGTGTATAAATTGCATTATTGTGCTTTAATTCTATATTTTGTTAGAAATGTATTATACGTGCTTGTTTTGTAGATATTTCCACATATTAGTAGAGCTTTTGGCTGTTGGAGGCGCGTGGTGAGTACCTAGGAACACGGAATGATGAAAGATTGATGGACGGATGAAAAAAAATAGAAGAAACGAGTGAAACAAGTAAAAAGTAGAGTGCAGAATTTTGACACGGGCAGTGATACGGGCACCATGCCCATGTCAGAGGCCGTGTCACCTCAACAGAGCATTTCGAGGACCAGGGACCTGACACGGGCAGCGACACGGACAGACTGGCCGTGTCGCGTGTGCAGGCTGATTTTTAATGCTTGCCTTTTTGGATAAGGAGAAGACTTTTGGACATATAAAAAGGCATATTTACCTTATTTTGAGGGAGAGAACGTGGAGAACAAGGAGAGGAGCCCTAGAACACACAAGAGAAGCAATTGGGAAGCAAAAAGAAGATCAACTACAAAGGGATCTAGAAGATTGAAAGATCTATGAGATTCCTAGTTTTTCGTTCTTCTTTCGTTTTGATCTTTTACTTATCATGTCGATTTCTAATATGTCTATGTATTTGAATTCGAACCTGAGCAGCTAGATTTATTGATTCTAAGACTTTGTAGTAGATTAATGTTGAGATTTTGAATGATTTATTTATAATTAATTGTTTTTTCTTTTGAACCTTATTCAAATATTTTGTACTTATTCCATGTTTACCACTTGATCAATGCTTTTGCATGTTTGATAATATTGTTCATAATTCGAGAGATGAGTTCAATATTAGGTCTTTAATATTTGACACAAGTTACTTGCTTGAATCGAGAGATTAGTAGGTAATTGTGAGGATAGTAGATCTTTTAATCTATTTGCAGTTGAATTGCATGTGTTAAGTGGAGACGCTAATATATGTGATTTAATCTACAGTTTTATCGATCTCGAGAGGAACGATAAGCTAAATTTGTGATCGTCTTATAGGGTAGATAAAGAAAACATTTAGTTGTGATATTTTTGAAGGAACCCAACTATTAATTGAACTCAATGTCTTAGAATCTATCATTCCCATATATTTTATTACGTGTTTTTCTAGCTAGTTCTTTATTTTTGCTTTATTCTCTTTGATTTATTTTCTTAGTTTAGCTAATCTATCCAGTTACGATCTTCTAAATAAAGTTGACACTATCATCATCTAGTACTTGATATATTAATTATTTGGTCTCTTGGGATACGACCTTGCTTGCCACATACTACGAGCGAAGCCGTACACTTGCGGTCGATCTTTAAAAATAAAGCCGAACAAGTGAATAATCACCTGCCGACCTCCCTTCTTCACGACCAGAGGCGGATTTACATGGAATATAGGGGGGCCATTGTCCCCCCCACCCACAACATTTTCAAGTTTTATTATTACTATATATACATATGTACTTAATTTGCACTTATATCCCAAAATTACATTGCTTATTGTTTAATTATCACATTAATGAACCAAATTTATTATTTTAAAACCACATTATACTATTTACATGCTTATTATTTAATTATTAAATTAATGAACCAATTTATTATTTTAAAACCACATTATACTATTTGCACAGTATAATATATGTTGTTTCTATTTTTTTAGTAATTTAACGTTTAATTAATTTGAATGTCAGAAATGTAGACACTTGCAAATTCGTTATTTGAAATAGGAAAGCATGTGTATTTTTCAATTTCATCATGATGAATGAGAAATCGCAATAAATTTTAATACCACGTTAATGTTAGTGAATTTTATGAGTTGAAAGAATGTAAAACACAATTTTTTATACTATCAAACATAAATGATTGTGAAATTTTATACTGCAACTTTATTATTTACTTTATCATTTTTAAGTAAACTTTACTTATTATATATATATGTATATATTTAATGTAATTTTATGCTATTAAATATTATATACTCCCCTCAAAATGTTCGACTTGAGATCTGTCGAGTACCTTATATTCAAAATTATTTTGTCTTGTTTATTAAATAAATGAAAATGTGAGATAAAGTTTGGTTCATCCACTCGAACCATTTTAATGAATTAAAAATTTAATTTCTTAAATTCTAATCGAATTGTTTGTGAACATGTCTATAAACTTAATCTCTTGCTCAACTCGTCTCATTTAAGTAAGTAGGGCCTCAAAATTTCAAAAACCAACCCAAGTTATATATTCTTGAACAACTATGATTGAATAATAGTCTAGTCCCTCCCAAATATTTTTTCTGAATCCGCCCATGTTCACGACTAGCTAAATTCTCTTAATTAAGGCTTCATACTCTGCTTAATTGTTAGAGCCTCTGAAAGATAACTTCATAGCGAATTCTCAGGTGTAACAAGTGTCTACTTCTGCTCCTCTAACACTCGAGGAGCCGTCCACGTACACTATCCTCTAGTCAACCTCTTTTTCGACCATGCCCTCCTATATGAAATCTGCCAATACCTAGGCCTTTACAGCTTTCCTGGCCTCGAACTCCACGTTGTATTCTCCTAGCTCGACGACCCACTTGACTATCCTCCCTCGGGCCAAAGGTCGACCCATGGTATCCTTGAGCGCGTAGATTGTACGAACCACGACCTTGTGACCCAACAATAAGGTCGTAAGAGTGAAGTTGATATGAGCGCAGACGCGACCTTCTCTACCTCAATATACTTTAAATTTGTCCTTGTAGTCTCCTCCTAGTTTATTATATGGACTTTTGTTGCCCTACTTCTTTAAGAAACACCAAGCTGATCACCACCTTTTTTATTAAAAGATATAGGATAAGGTAATCCATAGGTTCTGGCTTCGTGAGTAGTGACAGCTCGGCCATTAACTCCTTAAGCTTATCAAAAAATTCTTGCATTTGCGGCGCCCACTTGAATCGAGATCGCTTACTCGAAGTTTGAAAAAAATGGAAAACTGTTTTCACCCAATTGAGCAATAAACCTGCTCAGCCCAGCTAAATGGCCTCTGAGGACTTGGACCTCTTTCAAGCTCTTTAAGTTCTGGCCTAGGGACCACAGCCCTTTATGTACATTAAGTTATATTGGACATCTCTATTTTAGCTCATCATTAAGATATAGAAAACTCATTAGTTTTTACACATTAAGGGCCCAACTTTAGCTTTTCTCCATAACTTCTATGTCCATGAGATGCAGAAGAGTAATCTTTCGTATGACCTAGGGACCACAATCCTTTATGTACATTAAGTTACATTGTAGATCTCTATTTTAACCCATCATTAAAATAGAAAAGACTCATTAGTTTCTACACATTAAAGGCTCACACCTTATTGATACTTTAAAGCCCAATAACTTTAAAGCTTACTTGATCACTTTTATTTGAGCTTCTTTATTTGACAACCACAATACAAAAATTATTTCACATATTAGCCCCATATTGGATTAAGGATCCAACATCATAACAACCAAAAAGATTTGGCAAGCACACCATTCCAATGTCCAACAAAGGTTATGGTAATTATGATTCAGTAAAAAATCCTATGTGATTGCATTGAGGAATTTAAACTTTTTTTAGGACTGAGCATCAATACCTCCAATTCCAATATTTTTACAGCAGGTTTTTATGGGCCCCAGCTTGATGACATTTTAAATTTGTTGGGTTTTCCAACAGGTACTCTTCCCGTTAAATATTTAGGTGTACCTTTAGCAACTCAAAGCCTTAAATTTGCACACTATGCACCTTTGATTGATCGCATTTTTGCCTACATTAATAAGTGGACGGCTAACACCTTATCGTATGCATGACGGTTACAATTAATCAAATCTGTGTTGCAGGGTGTGGAATGTTATTAGTTGCAAAATTTTTCTCTTCCTAATAATGTGATTGATAGAATTACTAGATTATGCAGGGTTTTTCTTTGGGGTAAGAAAACCTCTCCTATTGCTTGGAAAAATATTTGCGTGCCATTTGATGAAGGGGATTTAGGTCTTAGAGATCTAAATGCCTGGAATAAATCTTTGCTTGCAAAAGTACTTTGGAATATTCATCTCAAAACCGGTTCCCTTTGGATTAAATGAGTTCATGCTTATTACATTAAAAACAATCCTTTTGGGATTGGAACCTGATATGGGATATTATACCCACAAGGCTGAACCGGTCTGTTGACTGGTTGAGGAGGTCGTATTATGAGGAAGCCAAAGAAATCGAGCAGTCAACAAGTCGACCAAGCAAGGCTGTCGACCAAACTATCCTTCGACCAGATGCATGATCGAGCAACCTATTCGACCTCAACAGGTCGATTACTTCGAGGACTTAACACCACGCTGTTTGGCCTAGTCATAGGCGCGTGAAGGAAGCCTCTGACAGAATTCCAGGAGAATATTTACCCCATGTGCAGGGAGACACGTGTCGAGAAGGCAGTGGTGGATAGCGATAACCACGTCTAACAGCCTACCCCATGTGCAGGAGGACACGCGTCCAAAGAGGATTGGTGCAGGCGATAGTGGCGACGGCTACCTCTGACACACGCGTTTGGTGTGTACGGACGGGCAGTTAGAGCAGACAG